GTCAGGAACTGTTCAGCTTCTTTGCATACTTCACCCGCAGTCTAGTCTATCCATATTTTCAGCTTTCAGACATGGTCAACCACCGATTCTTCGACGGCTACTACGACAGTGACGACGAGCGGTCGACTACGAGTCTAGAAAACAATCCATCTACCGTCTTCGGGGTCTCAAGCGAAGACACCTTCTCCAGATACAATACCTTTGATTATGGTGGGGCCTTTCAAGAAGGCCAATATCAACAGAGGTCTGGTCGATTCAACGGCTTTGGCGTCGGAATGTTGCCAACAGAACCAGTCGCTCCCGTAGGGAGCAGCAATGGCGGATTCATGTTCGTTCGCATTCCCAGCAGCGATTCCGATCGCGGTGGTTATGAGTCCAGTTGCTTCAGCCCATCAGGCTTGATGTCCCCCGAGGTCGAAGAGGGCCAGCCCTTCTACTCCATCGCACCCATCCAAGAAATGTCACGGTCCTGTGGATGTCAGCCCAGTGGGGGTTATGAGGCCTCTTGCGGGTGCAATACGTTGGCACCAAATCTTTCCCAGTCCTGGACGCGAAGGCGAAATAATTCGTCTGCCCATCCACCCTTTCCTCCACTTTCTGGGATCCAAATTGCCGTGGGTTCTAGCTACCGTGTGACGGAGCAGTCCAGCCGTTATTCCAACTACCTCGGCCCCAGCGACCCCGCCAGTATGGATGAAGCCGAAAACTTGTCGGGTTCATCCAGTCCGCCAACACAGCTTGACCTGACCGGGGATATAAGAACTGCCAATCTCATATACCACGACCAGCGACCGACTAATACTTTTGCAACGGGAACATCCGACGGTGACCTTCGTGTATAATAACAAATCACGTCGGGACATCCTACTTTTCAGACAAAACTCATTTTTAAAAATTGGTATTATTTAAACTATTCAACAATCAATACACCGAGTGACTAGATGTATTAGACTTAAGAAGCTGTTGGTGAGAAGCAGCGCCCACCGTGTCCGCGGCTTTTAAGGTTAGTTACACGAGTACGATCAGTTGGCCATACTCACTGTCAGTGTTGATCCCAGGTCTACACCACCCACTTTTATTCAAAGGGGATGATATACCTCTTCGTGCAATGTGAATAAAATAAGCACGCCATACCGTTTCTCCACGGGCTGTTTAGGACCCAGCAGAGGAATTTCTGGCGCCGTCAGGGCGGCCTCATCTGAAATGTAGTCATACAAGCCCTTCAGTTTCTTCCACTCTAACTCAAGAACGCGGCCCTGAGTAAACCCTAACTTGATTTTTATAGAGACTGACTCATATGGCCCGACTGGGGAGGAGCTCTACCGCCACTTCTTCTTGACATTCACATTTAAAGGGGCTTACATTGATCAGTAAGCCCAGCGAAAATCGAAGAGATCGAGTTGCCAGATCAGCATAAGTTGTACCACTTCGCACAGGCGTTTGATAACAAATGTTACCTTGGAGCGGTAGCACATTTACACCAATCAGATATTTCGTGTAGTCAGATTCAGACCCTACAACGCACCTTCGTGGTCCAAAGATGACCCAGCTCACCTGGATGGGAATCCCATCGTGGCAGAACACGGCTGCGCCCAAAGCCATGAATAAGTCAAAAGTGAAACTCGCAGGGCGAACGCCCGAGAAGTTGGAAGGCATGGCTAGTATGTATGCGTCGGTACTGAGTGCTTAATACATTTCGCCGGTAGAAATTTACCCACTGGAGGGTCTGGAGCGGCGCGTCACTGTGGATCCGTAACAGGTCATCGAGCTCTTATCAGCGTTCACGATCCCACTCCCAAAAACGTCGCCTCCAAGCTCGTGTTGGTCCAATGTTGCTTTCAGGAAGGTATACATGTGAGAAAGGGCAAACCCTCTATTCTGGGGAATTGGACTTATGGCTGGGGCAATACACGAACGGAGCGACTCATTCCGGGGATCGCCTCACTGACGAAGAACCCACTGGCCTCCCTCAGTACTTTGAAGGTCCAAGTCGTCACTTGAACACGGATAGCCAGAGTAGGCGAAAAGAAAGCCGAAAGAAGACCGTCAAGGTGGCGAAGAGACAAAGGAATGCATTTTTCTGACCTATATTTCGCGTCACCAGCGATGAACTGCCGAAGATTGATTGCCCTAAGTAGAGACGGATCAGAAGTATTACAAGCACGACGATCCAAACTAAGATGATCAATTCTTGCTCATCTACCGACCTCAACGAGTCGCAACCCAACCCCGTGCGGAAGCGCACCCAAGGTTTAAGCACAGCTCCAGTTGGTCAACCTCCTAATTTAGAGCCCCAGGCAAAAACGGAGCGATAAGGCCCCCCTCCGAAAAAGTCAGAAATGGTCATTAATCTTGGACGTCGTAGCATTCCCGGATAATCGATTTTTGGCTGCCATGTCAGAGAATTGTGCAGAGCAGCAAATCGAAACGACTAACTCCGTGTTTTGTTCAGTAATCAGGAAATACAGTAGGTATGCTACCTCATGAAATATTAACCGAAATTCTGAAAAGCGCCTTCGAATCGAAAAAGATTACTCAGATAAGGTTGTAGCATTAACCCCCATGCAGCATAATCCCAAGACATTTCAGCTACTTCGCGACGCCAGCTTCGGAACTAACTTCGTTTGGGCCGCCTAAAAAACTGCACTCTGTAAAAGACGACTACTTAAGTAGCGTGATTGGTTCTCATTGAGTTTCGCTGTCCCAATAAATTCACAAATACTACATAGAGAACATTCATTAAAATATTCACTTTTACTCATTTGGTAGAAAATAACGTCTTCTTCAATTTTTGTATTTGAAGAATGGGTATAATTCGGTTTTAAAGAACTTTTCCAGTTCACAAATAATTCCAAACCCGACCTGCCGTCACACTCGCATTCAAGGTTTCGAAATTACAAGCTGTATATTTTATGTGTACGGGTAATCACACACCTCTAAACGGTATTCAGAGGATAACATATGTAATTTATAAAATTTAGCAGTGGATTTGATCAATATTGCAAATTTTATAAGCAACACTAGTAGATGCGGAGACGTGATCTTTCAGGAAAGGGCTTTCCACAGTCTTAAAATCTCATAATTGGGAACTTTTTTAAAATAAAATTATGCCCTTCCTTCAAGTACAAAATTTTAAGACGTAATTTTCTTCTTAATGAGTAAAAGAATGAATATTTCCGTTCATGTTTTCTGTGGAGTATATTTGAATTTATAGGGACATCGAAAATCAATGAGGCGGCCTATAAGGATTTAGTTCAAAAGCTGGCGTCGCGAAGTAGCCGAGATGTCTTGGGCTTATGCTGCATGGTAGTTAATACTACAACCTTATCTAAGTAATCTTTTTCGAGCCGAAAGCGCATTTCAGAATTCCGGTTAGCATTTCATGAGTTAGCACACTTACTGTATAGGCGAAGGACCTTTAGCCATCGATCCGTATCGCCTCGCAGGTGCCCCCTATGAGAGCTTGAACTTGCAAAAAACCGCTGGCCAGTCAGCTTGGGTGGCGAAAAAAATCGAAAGGAAAGCACAAATGAATCCAGAAAACCGGTCTGCGTTAGTCTTGAAAACGGGCAGTAAATCAGCCTGCCGATACAAGTGAGAATGCGAGTTCATGGAAGGAGTTAAGTAGACGCGATCGCTGAGGCCAGAGTTTTATTCACCTGAAGTTTCGGATTCATGCTTGGGTCCACTATCAGAGGGAGCATCTGATACAGGTAATAGGTATGCGGCAGCATACTGGCCGAGTCTTATAATTACTGCAAAACTTGTGCAAAGCACCATCCTTATCTGATTCTGTCTCTATGGGTCCGAGCATGATCCGGAACATCGGGTGAATAAAGTCCGTGTCCCAGCTATCGCGTCTACTTCTCGGTACAGCGGACTGTCCGAGAGGTTAGGCATACGACGAAACCGCCCACTCAAATGTCAATGCCTTTCGCATTGGATATGTGAGTGGATGTGACCAACACGGTAAACATCGTGACAAACTCAGTATTCAGCCATAATGAAGGATTGGGCAGAGGAGGTAGACAACACAGACTCCTACTTTTTCCGCCCGCCTAGGTTTGCACTCAAGTAGGGACCAGTGACCAGAAAGGTACCTGAAACCTATAAATGCGGTGTAAGTTGGAGTTGAAGGCCGGGACTTCTGTAGGAATCTCCGAATACGTGACCACGGTTTGTTCTAATCACAACAAGCAAACTGGGCACGGACAAGCGTCGTTAGAAGTGCGAGTGAATTATCAGTTTCACTGAAGAAAATATCTAACGAACCTGCGACGGAACAAGATCTTACTTTCAGATCTTAAAGCACTGTACGATTCACCAGCTTCCGAATGCGCATCCACCAATTTGTTAGAAGTCTAAAAGTTGTCCGCAAACAACCAATGCAGTACGAATGCAGCGATGAGGCACGCCTGAGTCGTCGCGATAAGCCTCCAACCTCGCTACTCTTACAGTGAGTGGCCGGCCTCGTGCAATGTTAGTCGAATGCTGAAATACGTTTTCGGTTGGGAATGATTACATAAATGGGGTATAAGTGCAGTATAATCCTATTATATTTCGAAGTCGCCAGGATATTGGCTTTTGAATGCACTCATTTTCAACCTCCTGAAAAAGCTACACTTTGTAAAAAGTGACAACATAAGTAGTATTAATTTTTCATATTGACTTTCGATGGCCTTATGAATTCAAACAAACGTTGTAGAAAACAGACAAGGATATTCTTTCTCTTACTCATTTGGTAGAAAATCACGTCGTCTTTACCTTTATACTCGAAGAAAGAGTATCTTTCGGTTTT